CCGGCTTGGCTCAGTGGATAGAGCATCAGCCTGTAGACTGAAGGGTCCCGGGTTCGATTCTGGTCAAGGGCATGTATCTGGGCTGCAGGCTCGATCCCCAGCCCTGGTCAGAGCACGTGCAGGAGGCAACCAATCGATGTGTCTCTCTCATCATTGATGTTTCTATCTCTCTCTCTCCCTTCCTCTCTGAAGTTAATTTTTTTTAAAGTGCTGAAGGCGTAGTCAATACATGCTATTGACTCTTATGAATGTGGCACGTGACCTTGACCCAGTGTCCTTCTGGTTTGCAGCCTCTGGAGCTCCCTCTCTGCAGTGAAGGGGTGGGCCCAGCTGACCCCTGAGGGCCACTCCCACCCTCTGCCATTTCAGTAGGGGCTCAATTTAATGCCCGCCCCAATCCAGCCTCCCACACCAGCACCAACGATGGCATCTCCTCCCACCCCACCCCCAGAGCCTTCTGTAGCTGCTACTGCCTCCTTCTGGCCTTTGAGCATCTATGACACAGTCTCAACCTACCTCCTGGCCTGATCTGCAGCAACTTCATCCCAACAGCCCCTCTCTCAGCCTCGCTGGGTTCTGCTGCTCAGCTGCTAAGCGGTCTTCCCTGGCCCAGGACACCTCCCCGGCTCTCCCTGCCCCTGGAGGCCCAGGTACCACTGCCTGCAGGCAGCGTCCTACACACAACCATCTTGGCGAACAGGCTTCTAAATGTGTTTACGTCCACGGCCAGGCTCAAAGCAAGAAGGGAGGGCCTCAGAAGCCAGGAACAAGGGGGTTCCTGGAAGCCAGGGGAGGGGGACCATGCAGGACATCGCGGGAGGGGGTCACAGGTGTTTCTTAGGTCTTCCAAACTTTTCAGATTCCTAGATAACGAAAAGGAAGCCAATGAAAGAATCCAAAAACTTCAGAGCATTTTAAAAGGCTAAATGCAATGTGCTATCCTGGATCCTGGGACCAAAAATAATAATAATAATAAGTCAGTGGAAAACTGGTGAAATTTAAATCAAGTTTGGAGTCTGGTTAACAGCGCAGGAGTGTAATCTCTTAGTTATGACAAGTGAACTGTGGTTCCGAGAGACGGCGGGTTTTTTCTTTACACTTTCCTCTATTCTCCTTGCATTACGTTTGTCTTTGGTTTTCACTATTAAGAAATATTGAGTCCGCGCGTCTCGGTCGTGGTGTGGGCTCCCTCGGTCTCCTCTGCAAATGGGCTCCCTGGCCTAGCGCTCCCTCCACCCCCACCCCCCTCATTCCCGCCACCATGATCTCGTGCCGAGGTCCACGAGGGGTCACCGCCGAGGTTCCCACCAGCCCACAAGCGAGAACATGGCAGCATCCCCTCCAGCGGCTCACTCGTGGCCACCACGACTGCTACCGACGCCGCCTGGGCTCCACTTCCAGTTCCAGCTCCTGTGGAAGTGCCGAGTACCCTGGGGAGGCCATCCCCCACCACCCGGGTCTCCCCAAAGCCGACCCGGGTCACTGGCGGGCAAGCTTCTTTTGGGGGGAAGTCCGCTCTCCCATTCATGGCCACAGTGTCAGAGTCCCCAGAGCTCTCGGAATCTCCCCAGGCCTCCAGCAGCATGACCACCTGTGACCTGGCTCGGGAAGCCACAAGGAAGCAGCCTGGTGGCCAGCCTGGCAAAGTCAATGCTGGGCCCCCATCCTGAGTGGCCACCACCGGCCACCAGCCACCAGCCACCAGCCACCAGACTTCCAGAGGAGCTAGGCTGTTTGAGCCCCTCCCCCCCTCCTCCATCCCCTTCCCTCTCCTCACCCCACCTCGCTAGACTAGGCCGGCTGCAGCAAGCAGAAGCAGTTGGGTTCTTTTATATCAAAACAGCAACACACCAAAAAGGAAGTTGAGAGAGCCTCACTCTTTACTACCCAAGCCACACGCAAGCCTGCCTAACACCCCATAGCCATGTGCCTTGCACCAAGTGGAAAATAAATGAGAAGCAGCCAGCAAAAAAAGAAAGAAAGAAAGAAAAGAAAAAAGAAATATTGAGCCCATCTGGCATGTCTCAGTGGTTGAGCATTGAACTCTGAACCAGGAGGTTGAGGTTCGATTCCTGATCAGGGCACATGCGTGGGTTGTGGGCTCGATCCCCAGTTCGGGGCGTGCAGGAGGCAGCTGATCAATGCTTCTTTCTCATCATTGATGCTTCTATCCCTCTCTCCCTCTCCCCTCCTCTCTGAAGTCAATAAAAATATATATATTTTTAAAATGTGAGCCACAAAAAGTTGCCTGGCTGGGCGAGGGGTGAGAAATGATATCCTCACGGAAGACCGGACGGTGACAGCCTGGTCTGACAGGACATGTGAGGTTCTGGAGGCTGTGGACAGGTACCTGGGTCCAGTGGGTGAGAACGTCATGGGAAAGCTGTGGGGGACATGGGATGGGGGCGACCCATGGCCAGGACAGGGACCCGTCAGAACGGTGGCCACTGCCCCCGGGGAGATTGAAGGGACGAAGCCAACTCGGAGTGGCCAGGGCAGGGGAAAGAGGAAGCAGCCGGGGCAGCTCTGAGGCTTGAGCCCCGGACCCCACCCTGCCACTCCTCTCCCTGTGACGTGGGCATGACTCTTGCCCCCTCCGGCCCTTGGTTTTCTCGGCTGTGCGACTGAAGCCATCCCTCGCCCTGCTCACCTCTCAGGTCTGGTGAGGGTGCCCCCACTGAGCTCTTGGTGCCTCGACTTCTTCATTCGCACAATGGAGACAACAACAGTGCCTGCCTGGTAGCTTGTTGTGAAGATGAAATAAGACAAAGCTTAGATCAGGCCTGGCCGACCTCCACAAGGCGGCGCTGCTGCTGCTTCTATGTGAGGATTTCATGCAGCAGGGATGCTTCTGCCCTGGGCGAGGGGCAGGATGCAGCCCAGATCAAACCGGCACAGCTGTACCTTAGGAAGCTGGATGCTTCCCAGGTAATCCCAGAACTGACACCTGAGGGCACTTGAACAGAGAGGCACACGGGGCTGTGGTTTGAGAGCCCTGGAGAAGGGATCTGACCTCATTGGGCGGAGGGGAGGGAGGCTTGCCCTGAGGAGGAATCAAATGGGGGAAAGGGGAGAGAGAAAACATTCTGGGCATGTGCAAAGGCCCTGTGGAGGGAGCGTGGCCAGTACAGGAAATGGACGGGCAGCAGGGGGCGGGCAGGGTGACCTGAGGTGACCTAGGCCCCTCAGCAGAACCTCCCGTTTGCAGACAGTTGGGACGGGCTCCAGCCATGAAACCAACGGCTGCTTTACAACACGAGGCTTCACCTAGCGCACAGCTGAGCTCACACAAAAGGAAGGACCATCCTGGACGCTGGAGAGGAAGGTGGCACCGAGAGCCCAGGCTGTGAGCACAGCGACCCAGAGAGACGAGGCCAGGATGTGGGTTCAGACCACACTGGCGTGTGGGGTTACAACAGCCTCCGAGGCAAAGACGTGAGAGGAGGCGTTGGGGTTAAAATAACTCCCCTCCGTTGAAAGGAGACGACGCTTTACCCACCGAAGGAAGCCACAAGGAGCGCTGCGTTGGGGCAGGGCCCCTAGGAAGGAAACCCCAGCCCGTGCACATGCAGCTCTGACGTCTACGCTGTCCTGCCCGCTGGCACAGGTCATCCTGAGCCGAGAGCTGAACCTAACAGCCCCCCCCTCGCACACACCCAGACCCGTGCCTGATGCAACCACTGAGGCTCCTGGCTTAAGTGCAAAACCACTCTCCAAGCAGTGGGGGGGACCAGGAGGCTGAGTCTGTCCGCAGGAAAACCAAATTCCACTGAAGATGAGCTTCCGAGTAACCAAGTATCACAGACCACACGAGGAAACCATCCACCATGTGAGAGATCCAACAACCAATAAGAGGGCAGGCCCCCCATAGAACAGCCTAGAAGGAACCACAGGGGAGCACAGAGCACAGTGTGGGGGCATCAGCACTGGCACTTACTGACCGTCTTTCTGTGTGTAAATAGGCGCAGAGCAGTGCTCCTGGCACAGGGTTGGCATGAGCAGGGGCGAGTATGAAGTGGCCGTCCTGGGAGGTGGCCTTGGCCAGGGAGGCGGGGACTTGCGTGGAGAACCGGAAGTCCAGCGTGCAGGCGGCCCGCAGGCGGGGCCCGAGGTGGGGAGGAAGGAGGCGTCTGAGAACGTCTTGTGGATGAAGTGACCCTGGAGAAGGCCGGGTGCGGCCTGGACCCCTCTCCTGCCCTTTCCCGTGTGGACCAGCAGGAGCCAGCTTCCGGAAGCCGAAAAGGAGCCTCGGAAAGCTTCCAGCCCGGAGTTCAGATGGGGAAGCGGAGGGAGAGCTGCACTCAGAACTAGGGGCTCCTCCCAGCTGGCCTTTCATTCATTCAACAGGAATCTCCTGCTGTGTCCCAGCCACTGTGTGGGGTGAGCCAGACAGACGTGGTGCCAACTCTCACAGGCTTGTCTCCCAGGGAAGACATCGGTCAGAACGTCTGGTGACCTGCTTCCTCCCTGCCCTGGCTGCCCGCCCGCCCCGCACCTGCAGGGGGGCATCAAAGGGGCCCAGAGAGTGTACTTACTCACCCTCCCCTTGGGGATAGGGAGCAGTCAGGGGCATCCGTTTACACGCTGGCAGTCACAGGCTGCAGCGTCCACCACCACCACAAGAGGGCGGCCTTGGCCTCCAGGCAGTGCCCACCTGTGGCCCAGGGCCAGCCCAGAGCTTGGCCAGTTCTGGGCTCCCTCACCCCCACAAACATGCCAGATTGAGCCTCCTTTGGTGCCCTTAGAACCCTCTGTCAGCAGGGCCTTCCCTCTCTGCTGAGACCAATGCCGGGAGTCTGGCCTCCCTGCTTCCCCAGAGGGAGCAGGAAACATATTTATCTGTGTGTTGATCTGAAGGTCAACGGAGGAGTTGACCTCACAGTCGACAGACGGATGATCAACGCCCAACCTGCAAAGAGTCAAGGATCCGGGACCTTTGTCCTGCCCTCGGCCCAGAGAGGGGCCAGGGAGGGGCCCGTCAGCAGAGTGGGGACGCTTACCAGCAGGCGCCCCAGGGCCTCCTTGGAGATCACAGACGTGTTCTGCATGGGGACATCCATGGACTTGTCTTCCACCCACTCCTCCTGGCGGCTGGCGATGGACAGGTGGCTGATCTGGACGCGGGGAGAACCAGTGGAGTAAGGCAGGCATCGTGGGGCCTTTCCGCAGGAGAGGATGCCCCGTCCTTGGGGGGCGGTCACTCTTCTCCTTGAGCTCCTGTGACTTCCATCCTGTGATGCACGGTTAACCGTTATTAATTCATCTTAGGTTAAATGATAAGAAAATAAAAATATTTGCTTTCAATATTTGTATATAAACATGCATGCTTGTGTATGACTATGCAAGCGTGCATAACCAACAAGGAAGAAATATGCATGATAATTACAGCCCTCAATTCTGCAACCAGTCACATGGTTGCTGGGTTTTAGAGCTGTCATCTTCCACTACCCACCCAGGCCCTCAGCAAACATCTCAGCGGGTCATGCCTGGTTCCCTACCTGGTGGGATGACCCCAGCCTTCATTCCTGAGAAGTCTGGGCCCGTCACCCTGCCTTAATTGGCTTCTTGTAGTTTCCCACTGACTTTAATCACAGGATATGGTAGTGCTAAGTGACATCCTATGGGATTCCTCATTATCACCCCAGCCAATAGAGTAATACTCTTCTTTGCCTGTGGAGAAGTTCAAAGTAGCCAGATGGCAGTCTTTAAATAAAGGGTGTCCCAAAATTCACGCAAGATTTGAATTTTGCGTGAGCATTAACAACAACAACAACAAAAAATAAAAGCCTAATTTTACTTGGTTTATTGAATCAGATTCTAATATCTGTTGCCCTTTGATTTCAATGCCTTCAATTTGATGATCATTACCAAGTACCAATTATGGCCCAGGAGCAGGGACAACGCGGAACTGGAACAGCAGACCAACAGACCAACGAAGACCACGGCTTTGCGTATGTGCCAGCAAAGCTGTGGAGGCCATTTACCTGATGTGCTATTCCATACATAACCCTA